CAATGCAACGCTGATTGACGGACCGCAGATACCAGCAGAACGGATTCAACCTCTTGCACTCACTCCGCGGCGAGTTTGCCTTTGTGTTGTACGACGCGACGCGCAAGCTCGTCTTCGCCGCGCGCGACCGGCTTGGGATCAAGCCGCTGTACTACACTGTGTCCGACGAGCGCCTGCTCATCGCGAGCGAGATGAAGGCGTTCCTTCCGCTGGGCTGGAAAGCCGAGTGGGACATCCACAGCATTGTGCACTCGGGCGATGTATCGGACGATCGCACCGTCTTCAAGGGCGGGAGGAAGGTGCGGGTTGTTTGCGAGATCGGATAGGCAGCCGCTCATTGCTCTGCACAGCTCAACGCGGGCATGTCCCTGCTCTATCGCCCGGCGTCGGGATACCTCAAGGTGCAGCCGTACTGGGACCTCGACTACACGCCATCCGCGGTCCCGCAGACAATCGACGAGATGGTCGACGGCGTGCGCGAGCGGCTCGTCAGGGCGGTCGAACTGCGTCTCCGATCGGACGTGCCGGTGGGCGTATACCTGAGTGGGGGTATCGACAGCTCCGCTGTCGCCGGGATCGTAACAGAGCTACTGCGGAAGGATGATCCGAATGCGCGGATTGCGACGTTCACACTCGCGTTCCCCGGTACGGCGGCGTTGTTGACGCTGACTAGGGCAGTGTTCTGACTCTTCTCCGTAGACGCCAAAGACAACGACGAGGGCCCGATCGCTGCTCGTACAGCCGAGCATCTGGGCGCTGAATCGCACATGGTCAACGTCGACGAAGCTGCGCTCGTCGAGGCGCTCGAGGCGACTATCTGGCACACCGAGCAAGTGAACTTCACATTCCAGGGCCCCGGAAAGTTTCTTCTATCGAAGTACGTGAACGAACAGGGGTACAAGGTGGGTAGCGCATCAAACCCCTTGCATGCCGCTTGTCCATCCCTGCTGAATGATTCCAGGTTGTGCTCACGGGAGAAGGCGCGGACGAGTTCTTCGGCGGGTACCCCTGGTTCCCGATCGACTATCTCCGTCAGCGAGATGAAGCAGGCCTGAAGCTGAGACTGGAGTTGCCGCCCGATGCCGTCCGTGCCGCGATTCTGGACCGCATCCAGGGCCCAAACGGGATGCCGATCTTGGCGATGGGGAAGATGTCGTGGACAGATGCGAAGCTAGGCAGGGAGATGCTCGGGGGATCTCTTGCCACCGCGCCTATGCGTCTGCGGGGACTGCTGCCTCGGAGCTGTTTGACACGCGGGCTCTGGCGATGACGGGAGAGCCCGACATCACGCTTTCGATCGCGGAGCATATCGACGCGCGTGTCCGGGAGAAGGCGGTCTCTGGTGAATGGCACGCGCTGCATGTCTGTTCTGTGCGTGGTTCTTGTGTGCCGTGATGCGCGCGATGTTGATGGGTGTCTGGCACAGTATGTTACCGCGAAGACAATCCTGCAGAACTCGATCCTGAATCAAGTGGGTGAGAGGAGTGAGATGGCCCATTCTGTCGAAGGACGACCACCGTTCCTCGACCACCATCTCGTTGATTACATCAACGGTCTCCCTCCGTGCGTTGGCCATCCTATCTCGCCTGGCGATGCTGATCTTGTGGCGCACTTCCAGATCGGTCAAAGTCCGTCCAATCAAGGGGGGCTTCACAGACAAATGGCTGCTACGAGAGGCAGTCAGACCTTTTGTGCCGGAAGAAGTCTACAATCGCAAGAAACTGATGTACAATTCGCCTGCTGCAAGGCGAGAGGCCGGGGACGCGAGTCTGCGTCCCTTCCAAGCGCATGTCAAGGCGCGGATTACGCAGGAGGCTATCGAGCGGCTCGGACTTTTCCGGTGGTCCTACGTCAAGGAAACTTTGAATGGATATCTCACCGATGCGGTATTTCCAGCAGATGGTGGTTTGGACCCACGTGCGCAGGTACTCATGTACATTCTTAGCTTTGTCGTGTTGCAGGAGCGCTTCTTTGTCGCAAAGTGGGGTGTATAATTAGTTGGCGTAATGCATGCTCTAGAACGTCTCCTCTTGTGTTCCATCTTTGCGGCGTATCACGATCTGATATGAAGTAGAACCAGAATCGTGTTTTCGGGCCGCTCAAAGTCCCTCGAGAACAAGGACAGCCAGCGAGCTTCCCGCGCTGTAAGGTGAGCATGGATCTGACTGATGCGATACACATTTTGTGATTGAAAGCATATGTCGGGCAGCATCGTAAGCTCACATTCATCTTGTTACCCTAGAAGCAGGAACGTGAAACCTGTCCTGGGCATCTGCGCCCCCGCGATCTGATCAGTCGGCGAGTAGTGGAGAACCTCCCCCGCGGAACTTTCCCACTTATCTGAGCCGATGCTATATAACCGCGGCACGCGGATGCTTACCGCCCCCAGTGCGATATCGACCCCTACCTCTCCCCTTACCCCAGATGGCCGGCCCCGTAGGACCCCCGTCTTTCCCGCCCCTCGACACGAGTCTCGGTGCTATCGAGATTGGCGGGGTCGTCAGTACATTCCTGTTTGGGATCGTGACTCTGCAGGCGTACTACTACTTCCGCCAATTCGAGGACGACTCGAGGTATCTCAAGGCCACGGTAAGTATCTGCGCTTGAGCTCGGTGTAGCCGACGCTGACCCGGAACGCATTTTAGGTTTTCATGATCTGGTAATGTCGATCGTCAAGCGCTATCTCCGCGAGACTCAGGTTATCTGTATAGGCTCCTCGAGCTGGGGCATACGGTTTCGATTTGGCATGCTGTGAGCCTCAGCTTCCGCAAAACATGGGGGTATTCTCATATTGATTTGCCCAACAGATTTATTCTGTAACTGTAACTTTCTTCGGGAGACCGCAACACATTTCTTCTCCACCGCGCTCGCTCGAAATCAGCATCTTCTTCTCCATACCAATTACCTTTTTCGTCCAGGTGAGACTAGAACCAAACCAAGACAGCCTGTTCTTACGCAAGACAGTGTTTCTTCGCCAATCGAATCCGAGTGCTCTCCGGGAAATGGTTCCTCACCTGCGTATGCTGGCTACTCACCTTCCTGCGCTGTGTCGGGCTCTTCGGTGTCTTCGGGGTTGCACTTAACCTCAAATCGCTGGCGGACTTCAGCCACTTCAAATGGCTCGTCGGAACGACAGTATCGCTTGGTCTAACCGCGGACATCATCATTGCGGCCTCGCTGTCGTATTATCTGTCCACCATGCGCGAGAAGAGCATTCAGCAGTGGGTCACAACAATGATGATCTGCGCAATCATGGGAAGCTGACCACTTGAAGGACACGGCTGATGGTGGATACACTCATTCTCTGGGCTCTGGGTAAGCTGTACGGCAAACGTATGATGGACTGAGGATTCAATCTCTCCCTCTCAGAGACGGGCGCAGCTACTAGCGGAACCAGCCTCGGGCTCGTCATCTTCGTGCGTGCACCCTAGCCGGAACCCTTGATTATCATACGCTCATCTATGAACGAATCACAGTTCTTCGTTGGCAAAGATCGTACGTGTCATCCAGTTTGTCTTCTCTGCGGCGCGATCTCAGCTGAACATCGGACCCAGTTACCTGGTTCCCGTTCTATCTCGTCCTCGCCAAAGGTGCGCAGTGTCTTTGGCTTTTTACTCGCATATACTCATCTCTGCAATTCTGCACCTAGTTCTGTCCAATTGCATGCTCGCTTCGTGCGTTCCAATGATCTCTCGAATTCAAAACACCACCTCTGACTTAAAATCCCCAAGGCTGAATGGACGGCAACGATTCCGGGCCGCGAACAAACCCCCGATCACGTTTGACACGACATTGACACCCAGCACGAGAGCACATGGTGTGACATCCGGCGAACATAGGGTGAGAATCCAGATTCTGATCTATGTCTATCCTATTCACCGATTGCTCTTCACATTTCATAGGTCATGGACTTCGAGATGTCTGGGATGGATCTGAACGGGGAGGAGTTTGTGACTAGAAAGGTAGAAGCTGTGTAGTATATTTAGCTGATATTTATGACCTGGGGTTAGAATAAAACGCAGCAAGTACTTACACGAGGAGAGACCTTCATCAGAGCTCAGATAAAAATGAACTTGGACCCTTGGGAGATATTGGACCCATTGGAGACAAATTCGGGGACCAGTTTCAAGAAGAGAAGACGAGCTGCAGAAAGACCCCTGAGAGAGATTTGGTGCAGTCTTTCACGTGACGACGCGACCGCAGTCACGTGGAAAAGGACAGTTCGTAGGTTTTTTCATCGATTTTTTTCAAACTTGATTCGAATAAGGTTTAGCTTGCTTCTGTCAATCATTTCGGCTTCAAGCACAAATTTCGACTGAACAGTAGACCACTTCTAAGGCCTCCAAGACTCAATCAGGAACTCCTCAGAACTCTTTGGGAGCGATCATTTTGTTCTTTGAGATGTGGATGATATCTTTCCTAGACATCGGAGATTAGATAGACTCATTTTAGCACGCCAGTCCCGTAATAAAAGGTGAGAGTGATCGCTCTACTGGCTCGGACTGCCTTCACTCTCACCGCTTCTCTCCATAATGTATGCCCAAACTTTGGCACGTAAACGGCAGCTGTGGATTGCAAGGTTGATGAAGCATCTCGGGGATTTCGTGAAGAGCTGATCCCCTGCGGAAACTTCGAGTGGGAGTTGTCAACGGCGTATTTCGTAAAGCCCTGAGAACTGAGCGGCCCATGATACGCTTTCTTCGACGACAGACCGGCGCAGTGTTTAATTGACAATATGGGCGCTTACTCTAATGGATAAAGCGAAGCCTTTCAGCGCCGTGTACACAATAAACCACCTATCCCCCCTCCATAAATGACTCCCTTGTCCATCTTCATCCAATTGCTCATTTTCGGCCTTAGGGTTTCGGGATTCAGTCTTGTTGTATGCGTCATCGGTCGGGGAATTTGTTTAATCATGCGTTTGTTTGCCTTGACTTTCCGTTTCAGACTTTTTCGATGCTGTGATTCGCGTCTTTTTCCATGGCGGCAGTATCATCAGCATGCTCTTAGCTGTTTCAGGTCCAATTATATCTTGGGTTTTTGGATTTTTCTAGGGGTGGTGAGCACATCGAACCTTATTGATGTTTACAGTATTGAATATCTAGTGCCGAAGGGAGGAATTGAAGACTTGTTATTTTAATCGCTCGCGTAGTAGTAGCCGCCGATTGTACGAGACTTTGCTGGTGCATACATCACGATGACACCGGTTTGCAAGGTCTGGAGATTTGGACCGAACACATAACTGAGGAAGTACCTATTCATGAAACCACGCATTCTGGGCTACATTGCCACCGCCGTCTCGTCGCTCGCCTGGCAACCTCTGCAATCGGAATATGCCTCACACCAGCCTTCGCCGCACACTCGAACAGCTCAAACACCCCGACTCCGGTCAACGCCGAGCATTCCATATACGCCTGCGCCCCGATTTCACGGGCTGCCTGATCTCCTGCTCGCAGTCTATCCAGCTCCTGCTGTGAACTCTCCTCCGTGCGCAGAAGGTCGGATTTGCATCCAACCAGGAATACCACCACGTCTGGGCCGCAGAAGTGGCGGATCTCAGGCATCCAGCGGTTTCTTGCCACGCCAAAGTCAGTGCTGTCCGTGTCGTCGCTGGCGATTCCTCCTAGGGGAAAGCAGATGAGGAAGATGTTCGTGTGTGGGTAAGAGAGGGGCCGCAGCATATCGTATTCCTCGACGCCCTGCGAATCGAAAAGGGCAGTTGGGATGACGGTTCCAAGCTCACTTCCCTCCTCCGAGTCGCGTACGTGGATGCGAATGGGTCCGAAATCGTAGACGTCGAATAATGGGTAGTCCGGCTGGTAGATCTCGTGTGTGCGGCGCAGAATGAGCGAGGACTTGCCTGACCTCGGAGGGCCGACCAGGGTTATCTTGCACAGTCGAGGAGAGGAGGACGTACGCATTGGATTTGTGCTAGGGTCGAGGGAGCAAGGTGAGGAGATAGATGGTCTACTTTACTCGCTAGAGCTGTGCAGACACAGCCTCACAGTTGACGCAGGACAGTAGGACAGCGAGATGACGTCGATCTTGTCGTGCTGCCCTCGTCCTGCATCGCTTGATGATTGACGGATCTGAGCAGAAGATTTATGTTCTGAAGATCTGTAGCTCACATAGATCTCAAATAATATTCTCGAGTTTCCGATGAATTTAGATCGGATCAATGGCAAAGGCCGGCAAATCACGTAAATCTTGCACGGGTTTCCGAGGATGAGTTCGCCCGAGCCTTTCATCGATTGTTGACCGCATTCTAAAGCTCTCGATCTCGAGTAGGGGGAGCGGAGTGATGACTTGCCCGAAAGAGAGCACAGAAGATTTTAACACAATCTTCAATGTTCGAGGGAAGATACTTGAAGTTTCGATGGACCAGGAGGCTTGTATGTACAGAGGAATTAGGACGAATACATGCTTGAAAATTGAGACAGTATTGTTAAACATGCGCTTAGTAACTGCCGCCGGAGATCTAAAACCACGAGTCAGAACAGAGTCTCTACAGAAGTCAGGTCGCGGCCTTACGTGGGCACCTTGGTCAGGCCGCCTACCCTACCCAAATGGTAGAAACTTTTAGTGAATAGTTTCTACCTAAATGGTAGTTGGGGACCGGGGCCATATAGCGTTGGGTGGCCCCACAGGGCGTCTTGGGCATACCCAACTGCTCCTGTGGGTGTTCCCAATTTGGCTGTTGGGGACACCCATCTGGCGCGAAGCGCCAGAAAAAAATTGTGTTTTGGGCCTTGTTTTAGGCTTCCAAGAGCACTATTTGGCACACTGGTATGTCTACTAGACTCTAGTACAAACTGGTTGTATTATTTCTGCACTCAACTTTGATCTACATCATTTCTCAATTGATCTCATCATGTAGATCATTTGAATGCTGTGTTCTAATCAGTGATCCAATCACCTATGTGTGTAGGTGAAAGTTGTTCAGTTTTGCAAGGGCTACAACTTTGATTTCCCATCACTTTCTTTGTCAGCATCAGTCACATGCTCTATTGCCCTGTAGAATGGCACAACTTTTGATTGCATATCAATTTTTGATGATACTAATGATGTGAATTGCAATCTCATCTTATCTGTCAGACCCAGATTGACATTATCTGCTTACTCAATAGTGGACCCTGATAATCAAATCCAAGAAAAATCTAATCTCGATGTGGCTATGTGTGATTGGATCATTAATGTGGCACAGCTTCTATTTCGGGTTGGATAATCATCTTATATAATCAAAATTGAACATATTGGACATGTGACTTCCTTTTGGGGATATTTTGATGCAACTTATAGCAACCCAAAATGGAAATTCATCTCAATTTTGGAATAGCTAATGCTCATGGTGTGGGTTCTGCCTTAGATTTTCAGGGTATATTCTGTCATGTAATCACTTACATTTGTGCTCTTCAAAGCCACTGCATTGTTGTACAATACCTCCATATCCCAATTCTTTCAGTGATACCCTACCTAGCTTTCCATGACAACACATGCTTCTCTAGGCACATCCCTATCTCTCTCTAACATTCTATGCCTCTTAGGTAATGTACTTCTATCTTGGATCTCACAGTAGAGCCAGCCATTGTATATATATATGCATAGTAACCATTTCCAACCCATCTTGCTTTGATACATAACCAGTGATTTCTACACCCTCAATTTACCTCAGTCATGCTTTCATTCTTACAAAGAAGAGTTATTGAGGTTAATATGAACATAGAGACAAAGAATACAGGGAAGGCAATGGTAACATGTTGGAAATCAAAGTGCCCTTTGTAGTGCATATATTCTTGCTTCAGTAACTCGAAGCAATGTTTCACTTTATTGTAGCAACCATTTAGGAAATTTTCCGCACATCATTGATCTAAAAATCAGGCCGTATCTATTTCATTTAGGTGCATGTACTTTTACATTGGGAGTGCAATAGGGACTCTCTGGGTGGATTCCACACCTCCCTGAACATTGCAATGAGTTTGTGGAGTCATATTCTCCCAGAATATGAAATAGATGGTAAGGGGAAACAAAAAAGTGCAATTTTTTTCGCACTTGCATTAGTGCTACATCTTGATCTTCTTGAGGTATATCAATCCAATATTATGTTGCCTTTTACTATTCCCCTGCCATCTATTTCATATTCTGGGAGAATATGACTCCACAAACTCATTGCAATGTTCAGGGAGGTGTGGAATCCACCCAGAGAGTCCCTATTGCACTCCCAATGTAAAAGTACATGCACCTAAATGAAATAGATACGGCCTGATTTTTAGATCAATGATGTGCGGAAAATTTCCTAAATGGTTGCTACAATAAAGTGAAACATTGCTTCGAGTTACTGAAGCAAGAATATATGCACTACAAAGGGCACTTTGATTTCCAACATGTTACCATTGCCTTCCCTGTATTCTTTGTCTCTATGTTCATATTAACCTCAATAACTCTTCTTTGTAAGAATGAAAGCATGACTGAGGTAAATTGAGGGTGTAGAAATCACTGGTTATGTATCAAAGCAAGATGGGTTGGAAATGGTTACTATGCATATATATATACAATGGCTGGCTCTACTGTGAGATCCAAGATAGAAGTACATTACCTAAGAGGCATAGAATGTTAGAGAGAGATAGGGATGTGCCTAGAGAAGCATGTGTTGTCATGGAAAGCTAGGTAGGGTATCACTGAAAGAATTGGGATATGGAGGTATTGTACAACAATGCAGTGGCTTTGAAGAGCACAAATGTAAGTGATTACATGACAGAATATACCCTGAAAATCTAAGGCAGAACCCACACCATGAGCATTAGCTATTCCAAAATTGAGATGAATTTCCATTTTGGGTTGCTATAAGTTGCATCAAAATATCCCCAAAAGGAAGTCACATGTCCAATATGTTCAATTTTGATTATATAAGATGATTATCCAACCCGAAATAGAAGCTGTGCCACATTAATGATCCAATCACACATAGCCACATCGAGATTAGATTTTTCTTGGATTTGATTATCAGGGTCCACTATTGAGTAAGCAGATAATGTCAATCTGGGTCTGACAGATAAGATGAGATTGCAATTCACATCATTAGTATCATCAAAAATTGATATGCAATCAAAAGTTGTGCCATTCTACAGGGCAATAGAGCATGTGACTGATGCTGACAAAGAAAGTGATGGGAAATCAAAGTTGTAGCCCTTGCAAAACTGAACAACTTTCACCTACACACATAGGTGATTGGATCACTGATTAGAACACAGCATTCAAATGATCTACATGATGAGATCAATTGAGAAATGATGTAGATCAAAGTTGAGTGCAGAAATAATACAACCAGTTTGTACTAGAGTCTAGTAGACATACCAGTGTGCCAAATAGTGCTCTTGGAAGCCTAAAACAAGGCCCAAAACACAATTTTTTTCTGGCGCTTCGCGCCAGATGGGTGTCCCCAACAGCCAAATTGGGAACACCCACAGGAGCAGTTGGGTATGCCCAAGACGCCCTGTGGGGCCACCCAACGCTATATGGCCCCGGTCCCCAACTACCATTTAGGTAGAAACTATTCACTAAAAGTTTCTACCATTTGGGTAGGGTAGGCGGCCTGACCAAGGTGACGTGGGCGTTGTTTGCAGAAATGCTGTGTCCCTTCCCGCCAGACGTGACATCGAGGCCGGAAAAGTCCCAGTTTCCGGAGCAAGCGCCACAGTCGACGACGACGGACATGGCACTGCTGTCTACTGCGACAGTGGTTGTCCCACCAATGAACGCGACATCAGAGATCGGACCCCCGCTGCCTGGACTGCCGTCATTGGCTGGGTAGCTCTGAGTGATCAGGACACCGTAGTCAGAGATGCCCGAAATGGTGTTACTGCAAAGGATTCAGGACAGTCAACATTCGATGCGAACCATAAAAACGCACGCTTCATATGTGACACCTGACACTTTGGCATTCTTCGCACTCTTGTCGACTTTGATGCGCAGACCGTACAGCCCACCGGTGATCTTGTTGCGCGCCGCCTTGAAGTTCGTAACTGAGTGCCCGGACGCGATCGATCCGATGGAGATTCCATGACTGCCCGTGCAGGTGGTGTCTTCGACCAAGATGTTGTCTCCCTTGTTGACGGCGACGCAGTCGTCCTGGTTGATGACCGTGCACTGGGAGATGGTCAAGTCAGACGCGCTGACATCGAATCCGTCAGTGTTATGTCCGAGTGAGGCTCCAGCCGCTGCATATCTCCCGTCAGTCTCGACACACACAGCTTGGTCTGGAGTATGCGCACAGTTGTCCACAGTGACTCGTTCGATGATAGACGCTCCGGTCGTACCAACGGAGATGGCCTGAGCAGGCGAGTTGAGAACGGTGACGAACGAAAAGGTGCCGGAGCCCTTGAATCTAGAGAACCGCAATGGATCAGCGGACATAAACCAGTTGATGTAATCTTTCGGACGTACTTGACGAAGGGATGGGGCTTAGTTGAACCCCCATTAGTGCCTTTGCCGTCCCAGTAGGCCGCGCCGTTACCCTATGAGCCATCAGTTTACGCCTCTTCTCGACCTAGTGTTCCATGCTTCCACTTGCATTAATATTATGGTCTCCGCCGTTGAAATTGATATTGTTGGTGTTGAATGTGATGAGAGGACCAGCGGCTGGCAGGCATCATCACCCATCCGGTAGGATATTTCGGAGCAAGACTCACAGGAGGTTTTCGCAAAGACGATATCACCGGTCATGGTAACAGTGGCGCCACTGGCGGCCTGGAAATAACGGGATGAGCTGAGAGCATCCGCTCTGAATCGACGAAGATGACAAACCTCTATGTTGAGCGTCGATCCCGAGGGCACAGTGAAGCCCTCGATGACGACGTTGCTGCAGCTCTTCAAGTTCGAAGCACTTGATACGCTGTTCACAGTGCACGTCGAACGCTTGGCCGTCTCGGTTCTTGTGAAGTTGCTGGGAGCAGCAGCGGCTACTGCAACCAGGGTTGCAAGTCTGACAAAAGTGGTGAGAGTTAACATTGTGCTGAGAAAGGCGTGAGAGGTGCTGTATGCCAGGGCAATTGCCTCACCTCTTTATACCAGCATCCACAACTCCAAGGATTCGGGAAATTCTCAGCACGGACCGCCCGGACGGGTTTCATGCGTCATTCTAGGATGTAGTTAATGCATCTGCCAAACAGCAACCGTCCTGAACTATGACCAATGACTAGCATTGAGGCTCACATGTTTGAACAGGTGGGCCCTCAGCCAGGACACGGCACAAAATCGGCACCGGATCGTGGAGTATCAACACACGAGCGAACAACAGAATAACTGCCGGACGTGGATAAGTACGGCACACTGGAATTTCAGCCGGCAGCGCTCGCTCACTTATAGATTTGACACCACGATCTCACTGAGATATTCCTTGATTTTCGGAAGAGCAGATCGTTCCAAAGGTAATGTATCGTAAACAACGCCTATGCAAGCTGGGTCTTTCTGTGTCGGCGATTTCAGAGATATCCAATTATAGCAGGATAGCATACATGTTGCAAGAATATCAGGAAGCGCGAACCAATGACGCAGATGACCTTTTCGAAGGCAAGAAAGCCGAGGACTCGACGCCTATTCATGCAGCTGGCAGGGGCGGCATTCGGTTACAACTCGGAAATATTGATTCCGAAGGAAGAGATTGTCACGGAGGCCGAACAGGATGGAGGCAGCCAATCGCAGGGACGGCTCTCACTCTACATCAACCCTAAAAATAGACATTTGGTCAATCAGCATGCAGCATATTGGCCCTTCAAAGTTGTTTGGGAAGCCCACCAATGCCTCCAACTTAACCAGTCCCAAGACTCAGAGCAAACCGCCTCGGGGAGAAAATGTGTATGGTAATGATCAGTCCGGGGCACTTGAATAGAGAGAGGGGGATCTGAAATGACGACCTGATCGTGTCTTTCCCGTTCGACACGAATTGCCGAGTCATGGGAACGCAAGAGACCGGATAAGTTCAGTGTAAAGGGTTTTCCAATGTCCCTCATTGGCGTCCTGTGCTCCTCCTCTACATGGCTGACTCTGATATGCACATGCGATCCTCAAGTGGATTGCTGTCCGATCCTCTTCTCCAGTGCCCATCTGTGTTGTAAAGCTAAAGGCTGCGGCAGTTGGAGTGATGTGATTAGCAGAATTGCGTGATTGAAAGAACTTCAGTATTTCGCATTCCGACAGACATCATACATAGGATGCAGGGGTTGAGCGATAACAAGCAGGATGAGTCACGTTTCCAAAAACGAGGCGGTGCTCCCATGATGATCCGGGAGCACTGGTGAACTTTCGCCTACTTCCGCTCGCTCAACCCTGTCACAATTTGAGGCTGCCATGACCAACTGAGTTCATCATCATCTGACGTCACAGTAAAGGCCCATCTCTTAGTCCCAGCTTGGTCCTGCTCTACTATTCAGCATTGAATAACGACCGACATGACTCTGGTTCTATCACGTCGGCCGAAGCCAATACGAGACTTTCATTTCACAGCGACAGTGATTAGCTACTCGATCTCTCTGACCAGAAGATCCCACAAGAATTCGTCATCATGAAAACTAGATTTCATCCCGTCAGGCCGCCCCTCGGACTCTAGTCTTCAACTGACTATGAATCAGTAACCCGTCTGGGTGGATTCACGTTCTGTTGGAACCCTGACCGAGGCATCAAGCTGGTGAATCATTCCGGACTTCTGTTGGACGTCTCCAATATACAGTATATGAGAGTTCTGCCTGTCTAGAGCGTTCTCCGCCACAGCACCGATGACAACTCGCCTCGGCCCGATTTGCATGGCGGGCCGGTTTTCAACGGAATACACGGGATTGATCTCAGAGCTGCCTCGGAGGACGTGGGATATTTGTATTTCGATCTTCCCAGGGAGACATCCAAGCACCGTTGCGATGTTAACCCTCCCGGATGACGTGTTATCGGCAAGCACTGGTTACACCCTGCTACAAATGCCGAGCAGAGGAACTTGCTCAGAATCAAAACGAGCTCAGAGCCGCCCTGTATTGAACAAGCCGGAATGTCTGATCTTCTCGAAACTAAACAAACCACTTCCAACATGTGTTCCTCGGCAGTTGCCGGTCTTCCTCCGCACACCTGATTGCCCATTTACTCCTAAGACCGGAGATAAAGAGGAATGGACTGCGAGATGCGGATGCCGACAAACGGCGTTCTAATCACAACGGAAGCTATGTCTACTTCCGACCATTTCTTATTCTCCTTCTCGAAGTGATGGTCAAGTTCGATTCAGTGCGTACTCGATGGACTGTGCAAGATACCCTTGGGTCGCTCCTCTGTCCGGTAACTTTGTCTAGCGGTCTCTTTCTTTCATACGATGAGATCAATCGGATGCGCAGCCATGAAGTCACACAGGACGTAGCGCTCCGCTCCTGACGGACTGAAATTACATAGGAACTTAGAAACATGCTGATAAGCAATTCGCGGGAGCAGATTGTGAGAAGAAGTCAAGAAGAAAGTATTCCACACTGCCACGAACGTATAATGGCTCCGATTCATGAGTCGTTTCGAAGGTCGCAGTGGCTGCGCGGAGCCGACTTTGGGACTTCTATAGTCCAAGGTTGTGACTTCTGATCTGACAGGAAATGTGCGATCTTATCACCTGAGTAGGCGATGCATCGAGAGAGGATATCCTCTTACTCACAGCGCGATTCCAGCGCCACTGTCACAGGTTGCTGTTCTCAACTGGGGTAGATGTTGGTTGATGTTGCCGTCATCGCATCGGGTGTCGAGACCTGGCCTGGTTTAGATACGGAGAGCAAGCCATTGAAAAAGAATGTGGCAGGAGCGCGAATATGGCCATCAGTCTCTAGCTTCCTAGAAGTCAGCCTTGGCTCCAGTTCTCAAACACCGCCGGGCGATGGTCCAAACGGAGTTAATCATGCTTGGTCCTGCTTGTCTCGCTTGGCCATACGTACCAGTTTCTTCGATACTTACGACTCGGCCAGGAATGTCAGCATCTGCGTGCCGTTTGGACTTCATAACCAGGATGTCAAGGGAACCTTTACCCTTCCTCTTTTCTTTCCCTTGTCGCTTTGTTGTCCTGTCCGAACGCCCATCCTCGACCTAGTCAAAACCAGCAGACTACAACAAGCATAGAGGAATGGCGACCGTATCCCTACCCAGTCTGCATTGCGTGAATATCGCTCGGATGCGCTCCTCCAGCTCCCACCACTCCGAGACCACGCGGCCGGCTCATCGCCACTCGCCATCTTCCTACTCACACCCGAACCCCAATGTCTGGCCAGGACCCGCCACAGTCCACGATGGTGAAGCGAGAGAGGTGAAGTTGAGTGCAAGTAGGGACTGGTTGTCCCCACATTATGCGCACTCACCTCACACCGTTGCGCCATCGAAGCACCAGCACCCGCACCCATACATCCGAGTCGAGCCGTACGTTGAAGTGAAACCACGGCCTTCATGCTTGCGATCCTCTGGCTCTCGACCTTCACACCATGATCTTCAGACCCACCCTTCGTCGCCTCCCGCCGACCGCCCTGTCCCCCACCCGTCCTACTTCAATTCGACGGTCCCAGCACTGAACAGCAGTCTTCTCTACGATGCGGAACCGCCAACGGCGACGGTACTGGATCGGACGAGCGGTTCGACGAGCAGGCATTCGGATCCAATCGGTGGTAGTGAAAGCCGTCCGCTGCCGCTCCCCACTGGGGCTTCATCGTCCAGACTGGGTCCCATTCGTCACTCTCGGCCACGTCAGGCGACTTCGCTCAAGAGACCCAGTGCACCTCGACAGGTGGTGCTCCCCAGTATTGGTATGGCTTCAGCTTTCTCACTGGTTGCGCATCTTCTCAGTTGGATCACAGAGGCTGATCGTCCCTCTTCTCCGTGGTGCGGCCCATCGTCACTCAGGGTCTTCCCGCCGACGCCCACGACCCGCCCGCCGTCACTCACATCACTTGCGGCGATTCCTTCCCTCGCATCGGCCCTGTTTTCGCCGCACCCAACTTCTGCGGAGACCACGACCGTCGGGTTCGGGGGCGCAACGAACATGTCCGGGATCGACAACATGAGCTTGGGTGTTGCCGCAGGCGTTCCGCGGAGCATGGGGTCGTTGGGTGTGGATGATTCATTACAGGAGACGATAGGTGCGTAGTGGTGATGGCAATGGCTTCGATCCCTGACTGACTGTTGCATGATCTACACAGAATCTACGGAGGCACTGATTTCCTTGGAAAGACACCGTCGGCGGCGGGAAACGCATAACGCTGTCGAGCGCCGACGAAGAGACAATATCAACGGGAGGATCAGCGAGCTAGCGACGCTCATCCCTGAACATATGCTAGTCGACAGTGCGCATCTTTATTAGCCTCGCTGGCTGGCATTGACGGCAACTCTAAGACGCAGACGACTCGGCCACCCCAGGCACCAAGGCAGAAGAGACTGCTGACAACGATGGCATCCTCAAGGCGAAGAAAGGCGCAGTTCTGGGCAAAAGCGTGGACTACATTCGGTGCGCTTCGATACCCCACTTCCACGCTCAGCTGCTAAATGATGTCAGCAGATATTTGCAGCAGGTGGTGACTGCTCAGGGTGCCCGGCACCGTGAATTGGAGGAAGAACTGAGCGGGTTCTCCAGCGCCCCCTCGAGCGTCTCGGGCTCTGACACCGAGGAGATGGTTCTCGGCGACTTCTTGAATGGGTTCGACGGATCGCTGGGCCTCTGGGGCCAGTTGACTTCTGACTCCCAAGAAGAACGCAAATGCTAAACGCAGCAGAGCCGAAGAGCGCAGTAGGTATGTATCCATGAATCACCTTCATATAGAATGTTTGGTCAGTTTTCCCCGAGCTGGAATATCCTTGGGCGGAGCGAACCTATTAGACGACCAGCCTACAGTAGTCATCCACAGTAGTCATCCAGTAATATGACAGATGTCCCCTGACATTCCCGAGCGACATTCGACCGACTGCTCTACCGCACTGACACGAGGCGGTGGGGATGTAGGCGAGCACTGTAACGGATGGAAGCAAAGGGATAGCAGCTCATTCGTACTCGCTGTTATTTCTTTTGCGGTTCGGTCTGGCGCTGTTATGGGCATTCTTCCTTATTTACCGTCGTGACCATCATGAAAACCGTTCAAGGACTCATGTCAGCTCCTAGCTGCATTTGAGGGCGCCCAATTTGCACAAACCTGGAGCGTCATCACCCGTAGTGGGTCGCGACACTCAAGACTAGCTTGTGTGAGGTAGTGAAGGTATCGTCTTGCTGTCTATGGGATCAGGATTGTGACTGGCATAGTCCAATCCGTTGACATAATTGTGTAAGCAACCATTGAGCGTTAATGTTCTTTCCCTCCAACAGGAGAGCTTGCGAAATCTTCTGCTTGTACCAAAGGTGTGCACATCACGCAATGCAATGTAGAAATTGGCCGGAACTTTGAATTAGATCCAATGTCGCTACATTTCACCGCGTAGAGCTTCCATAAATTATAATGGAACCTCCTGGGACGATATACGATCGGAACCGGGACCAGCTGTGCGAAATAGCCCGAAGTGAGATTCGGGGATTAGATGTGTGATTTGGACTGTGCTCACGACGAGTGGAAAGTTTGTGTGTAGGAACAAGCAGAGCCGAAGTCCGACGGCGGCGTAGGATACGTCGTTGAAATTGCCGCCATAGAACAGGAAGGAAAGGGATGTGACCAGCAACCCTAGTGCAGCCACGTGAATAGACGGGGATCCAGGCGCAGCAAGGTCTGAATCACGAACGGTGAAACCGGTAACAGGGTTCCCGACTAGGCAGAAAATGCAAGTGATGAATTTGGATGCTGAGCTGAGTGCATTCATCTTGTTCTTTGCGCTCTATGAAGCTATGCGCGGTTGATAGGTCAAGAGCACGCGCGGTAGGAGGGGTGTTGGCCACACGTTGGCTCTGATGTGCTTGAATTCCGAGCACTTATGTGGTTCTCGGCTTGATGCGAGGAGTTGACTGTATGCACAGGCTAGGTGTGGTAATTATGGGAGTCTAAGCTTGTTTGAAACGAAACGAAACGATTGCGAGAGTCATATCCGATGCCATGTCAACTGAAACACTGTCAAGTGCTGTTCGCCCCGTCGAGCTCACCGATGAAAGATAGGCAGAGTGCGCATTCCACACAATATGTAGGTCAGTCCTTGTTGCTGATATCAGGTCGTACGGACAGAGTAGTGAACAGGGTAATGTAGCAGTAAGTGTTCGAGAGCAAGAGATGAAGAACGCCTCCATGAGGATATATGGGCGCTTCCCGTCCGCTTCTGGGGAAGATTCCCACTGGTGTCTGCAGCAGCTGATAGACAGGATGAAATCCGAAGGTACAGCGCCGCTGAGAGCGATAAGGACAGGATCCGCCTAACAGTTTCGACGAGCGGCGGTGTAGTTTCCATCTGCTCTGCCAAATAGCATGTGCAGGTAAACTTCGACAGAGGACGCCCACGAGCACAGATATTGGCTCGTCGAGACTTGGTGCATGCAGATGCAGTCGGCGAGACTAGTAGGCATTTTCGCCACGTTGTGAAAGGTGTGTGCGATTTGGACCGGTGAGCCAGAGAACACAGCAAGATTGGAAGTCGATGAAGATGACAGTCAGCGCGCGTCCTGAAATGGCATTATCGTCGACAAGTGCAAATACCATCACCCAGACTGCGCTTCATCGATGACGACGTCCCTCATAGGGTGCTGGTCGAATGGCCGGCCGCATCTCCGCGCATTCTACGATTCTGACCTGTTCATCTACCCGTCGACTTGCTTCCCCGCTTGTGTAGGCAAAACTATCCTGGGGCTCGTCTTTTATGCGTTTGAGCTTGCAACGCACCGCTGAGTTCAACTCCTCCTACAAGCTCTCGAACCTTGATCCCCATGGCCCCACGGACGACGTGAGTATTGGCCCTCTAGAATGTCAGTATTTGTTGTTTGCGCAGACCAGGATTTTCCAAAGTCATCTCGAATCGCGCCTTTCACGGTCTCCACTGGGTCGTTCCGACTTGCTAGCTCTCTCTACCTTCTGAGCATGCATTCCTGTCGTTCAGCGTTGTTATTCACTACGCCTCAACACTCTCCAGTTATCGATCTTAGTTCGCTTGTTCTCTGCTCGAGCCCCGCCGATATGCCTCCGCCTGGAATGATTGCCTTTATTGAGAGGGATCTTCTTACATCGCTAGTTTGTAGGCTACTTTGGTTGCACGTGTCTTCGCTTCGTTTTTTCTCGATCTCCTAGACCATTCTGTGATGACCACCGCCGGAATGCGTTTTTCGCCACGTTGCATAACCATCATCAAGTATAGTGTCTGGAGAACATCGGCCATGCACCGCTGAGTCAGACCCACAGTACAGTTGCAGACACCGTCATTCTGTGACCCCGTTCGGATGAGAATCCAAGCAAGCATCCTAGACATCGTTCCAAGTCGTGTACTCGAAAGATGGCTGTCGGGATACAGTCTAAGAATCAACAATGAAAGCTACAGAGCGTATGTACATGAGATCAATGGCTACGTCGAATCGCCCTCCCCACTCCCTTCACTATCCTTCCCGCCTACATCCGAGCTGATGGATCCGGCAGGCACAACCGTGACAATGCTAATACCCATCTCCAGCCACGGTAAAGGGATATCGTCGTCGTCGACTGCATCGGCATGAGCGTAGGGTCGTAGCCATGTGGGCTGCTCGGACGGTGTGGATTCGACAGGGAACAGGTCAGGAGTCGGCATGGCGAGGAGGACGGAGACGCGTGCTTTAGGCGGGTCCAGGTCGTCGTAGGTGGCTTCCAGGTCGGGAGGGAAATGTCCAAGTGCAGCTAGACCCACACGAAAGAGATTATGAGTTCACAGAGGGGATATATGCGCAACTCGGCATACCGGAATTAGGTGTTGTCCCAGTGGATGTGGCTGCATTGAAGTTGGAGTTCGCGCGCAGCAAACCGGCGGGGGTTGCACGTGGCAACGAGTTCGAAGATGCGGGCGGTATGTAAGATGCCGCGAAGGGCTTCCAGCGGAAAATTAGCGCGATCGGCTAGTCTCGACACCAAGTGCCCACGGACCCTGATTTCCTCCCAGTCCAGCGACTCGCCAGCAGCTAAAGATCCACTGACACGGGCCTTCAACGTGCTCGGTATTGGCGGTGAGAGCCATGCGTCGTGTAGTCTAGGCTTCTTCTTCAAGTCGATCTAGATTCGTTTGCGTGTCAGCCGGCTCAAACGCGCAAGAGAAACACACACACCCTGACCCTGCCAGCCGGGGGCAACAGCGTTCCATTCGCGATCGCCTCATCAACAAAGCGCTGGTGCCGCCTGCGCAGAACCAATGAGCGCGCGACGATAGCGGCCGAGACGGCGAGCAGGAGGATCAGTGTGGCGAGAAAGGTGTAGACTAGAAGTGACGCGTATGAGCGCGTACAATGAGGATTGCGCATGTGTTGAGAAGGTACGCACGATAGAGCTTGGCGGAGACCTGAATCCCACTGCCCCCGTTACTAGGACTGCCATCCCCGGGACCCCCGCTCACACCGGGTCCAAACGCGGATGAGGTAGGAGAGCTGAATGGATTAGAGACGATGCTGGGAGCCGTCGCGGATGGGGCACTGAACGTGCTAGAGAACAGGCTCGATGCGCCCGAGGTGACACCGGAGAGTGTAGCCGTCTGGAATGAAGATGATGCAGACATCGGGCGAGCTGCCAAGACCTAGTCGGCAGAGCTTTATTGAGCGTTTCCGGAGCAGAGGGCAAGGTGTCGTCAGGTGTCGTGAGGACGCTGGAAGCCAGCAAGATGGGAGTCGGCGTAGGCGGGAAAAAGCAAGCGCGAATGGGTCACGTTGGTTACGCGTGTGAGTAAGCAGTGATCGCGTCATCGAGGTGATGGTGTTATCATCGCGCATAGATGGGCCGGCAACAGCGTGAGAGTGCCAATTTCGAGCAATTACCGTTCCAATCACTTCGGGAGATACGTCGAAATGTGGCGGCAGTCAGCTGGGATGTACCTCAGGTACCCGCAAAAGTAGTGCCTGTGTTCATGGCAACAAAACCAGACAATCTTTGCGGTCATTGGCGTTTGTGAGAGAACTGAACACGCGTTGGACGAGCCAGGATCTCATTTCACGGAAATTCTCAAGGTATTTGCCACCATCTAGTCCTATGACAGCCGAAAGATAATACTGTGTGTCAGCTCTCTTTCATCCTACTGCAACTGAATTGTTTACAATTGTTGATTTAGATTAGCTACTTTCGGGATTCGGCAGGCATAGATCGACTTTCCGTCGCAGATTTACAATGCTCGCATATGGCACCCGAGGTGACCGATCATGATTGCACTACACTTGCATCCTCGTCAACCGCGCCTGATCCCAAATCGTTGCCTCGAGGCATACTTTCCCCACCTTTGGATATCCTCCCTCTCGAGTAAAAGCGGAATCGTATAGAGATGCCGTGCGAGGTCTTCATTTTTCGCCGTGCGATGTACTACATTATGACACGGCCTATGTCGGTCAATTATGTAGAGTTCGAATCAGATCAAAATTCCCACTAAGACGCACCGACACAACCACGCAACGGAATTGAGCATCGCCTCAGGATGCCAACCCTTCTTGCGCACCTTGTCGTGCGTCGAGCGCGGTATCAGGTGATGATACGTCAGCGGGACCTCGCGTTCGCAAATCTCGCACTCCGTGCATCGCGTGCTTCCCCATACAGGTGGGGGCGCGGAGGCGTCTTCGATAAAGTCCGTGAGGACCTTACGCACGAAGGTGGGTGTCTCGTCGGGGGCACAGATCGCGTAGGCGTGCAGGGTATCAGTCACACTAGTGGGAAGTGCATCAATTGAGGCCGATTCCGGGTCTTCGGAACTGAGAGAGGCCCGAGTTTCGGCGGATAGCGTCTGGAGGTAGGCAGGCAGCACAGGCCATGTCTCTTGCGCGAGATACAATACGAAGTCATCAAGGTCTGAGTCGGGAGAGTCGGAGCCAAGGTCACAGAGCGATGGACGGGATAGAATTCTCCGAGCAAACGCGTCTTTGAGAATCGAAAATTGCGGAGAGTCGAAGGACATCACAATGGAGAGGAGAGCGAGTAAGTAGGAGCACGTGTCGATCGATCAATCGGTGGCAGTACTACACAGCCACGACCATCATCCTTTCCCTTTCCACCAGTCACCATGGCGTCACTGCTGGGTCCGATCTCAGGTGCCCTAGTGGCCGGCGGGGTGCGTTTCTCGTTCAGCAAACACCTTTGTCAAGACCCGATTGACTTGAGGCGCAGTTCTACTACGGATACTCGAACTTGATGCACAACCGGTACGTGGCATCATGTGCCTTGCGAGCTGCGCTCTTATAGTTTTGGCAGAACCGAGAGCTTGAAAACCGAGTAAGTTCTCCTCGCTTGACGCTTTCGATCCCCTCTTTGTTGTTCTCATCACCTATGTCTCCGTCCTTACGTAATCAGGCTCCATACGCTCAGTGTTCGACTCGTCGACCACCCGGCCCTTGTCATGGCGCCGCCCTCCGCCGCTGCACGTGTCACGCCGCCTTCTTTTGCGGCTACTCTAAAGGCTCGATGGAATGACGAGGTGGCGGGACTAGCACAGAACCTTCGAGGCCTGGACGGGCAGGTGGGAGCTTGGGGACGGAGAGTTGTGTATGGTGATCAACACACCTCTAAGTAATCAGTGCCACCCTTTCTAAGACGTATTTGGTCTCAATCTCCGTTGCTCTCTCTACGTCGGCGTGATCACATGACTTTAGAGAATCTGCGGGCACCTGGACTTTCACCTGACGAGGTGTGAGAGTCCTTGTGCTAGCTTGCGTTCCTGCGAGGGTTTTTCTTAGCCTGCCAAAATTGAGCATGGGCATATGTATGACCACAGCGTCTCAAAATTCCTGGGTCGGGAGGCTGGATGATTCTAATATCACTCAACCAAAGAGACGACCTAACGTGTAAAGAAACGCTTAGAGTCAAGAAGAATATGTGAGACGGTGAGATCGAAGTAATTGGCTGAAGTTTCATGCGAGGCGCATGACGTTTCAGGTGTTGAAGTCACATGATGCTTTCAATTTGCCTGCCAATTTTGGACTACGAATGCAGACGCAGAACCATCTAGTCTGTGCTCCTCGCTAAATCTCTGCATTTTTGCACTTTTCTGAACCCTTGAATATGAATTTCCTTTCAATATTTTCTCACTGAGTTCTATGCGCGCACATGCTCCTCAACAGGGATGTCGAGTGCACGGCATCATTTTCAGATGGACATATTAACAACGCTAATGAAACAGGGAGAAATGCAAACAGGCATCCAGGATGTGGTCATTCAAGTCACATCGAGAAAATGAAACGGCTCGATTTCTCGCAACTAATTTGAGTTTAAAGGTCCCTGCACTTGATCTGAGTGCTTGATCTAAACGCTTGGGTGTCCAACCGTGTGGTATACGGTGTAACTGCTCACTGAATAGTCGCATCGGTTACCGTTGTCTGCTGGGTTTTCTTGATAATTTCCTTGAATATTGTAAATCACGGAACACTGTCCTTTTGCGATCTTTGAGCATTCAGTACCGCTCCAGAACACTATCTTTTGAGACATTGGGTAAGATCGGCAACACGTCGTGTTGCCTCATTTCCGTTGATCGAAATGCTTCGCTCCCTGTAGACACTTATTTACCGTGAGCCTGGGTGCTAATACATGGACCCTAAAAATGCCCTAGACGAGTGTAAAGCCGTGTAGCATAAAAGAAACTGAGAGGCACAGGAGTAAAACTGCTCCGGAGAGACTCGAACTCTCGATCTTCTGATGGACTGGAGACTGGACAAACCCAGAGCTAACAGTCAGACGCCTTAACCAGCTGGGCCACGGAGCAATATTCTTCGGTCTCTCAGGTTCTCTCATGATCCCGGGCAAAATCGAAAATCGGTATCGAAAAAAATCGATTGATGACCTTCCCTTTTGTCTTGACAATTGGTAAGAAATGAGCTCAAGTCCGACTGAGATTATCATCGACAAAAATCGAAAGTCCGATCGGAACAGTTTGAGATAGCTTGGATTATCCTGTGTAGATTGCATCAATAATGGGATCTCGGGACAGATAATTCCTCGCTTAGGCGAAGAGGGCAGTTCGGCCCTAGCGACGCACGATAAGTGGTCGGCTAAATTCAAGCGAAATCGACCGTGGTCAGAGAGACAATGCTTGTAGTTGCGTTGTCGCCGGTGTGACCGAAGCCGTCTGTATGATGAGTATGGGGCGCGATGATGTTGACCAGGAAGGGGTTTGCGGTGGGATCGCCTTCGTTCGCGGTGACAGCGGCGATGACCCTAAGGCTCGGACCAGCTGTAGGGGCGCCGTTCGCGACCGAAGTTGGAGTAAAAGAATGGGGGCAGAATTATTGCAAACAAATCAGAGTCAGGGAAACAGTCAAAGTGGCTGATCCCACCGCGAGCAGTGGGGGCTAGCAAGGCAGCGGCGAAGGAAAGACAGAGGGCGAAGGAAGGATTATTCGATGAGAAACGGGACGAGAGGCCCGTCAAAGGCCTTCATTTATCACCGATAGAGCTGCAACCGATGACCGTTTCCCGTGCGGACAAAGCAGCCGTTTTTGGCTCCTAGTACCCCGAGCGTTTGGCTAGAATTGTACATGGGAAATATGCCTGAGTTGGATCTGTTGGATCTCTGTAAACCTGGAAACAAATGCTTAGGGATTGATTCTCATGCGGACAATGAAAGGCAGTTTGATACGGGTCCCGTAAATGAACTATGGCAGACGCGTTGATTCATGGATCACGGTGGACAATCTTCGGGGCTTGGATGACTCGAAAAGAAGTAATCCAGCATCGAGCGTCCAGGACAAAAGCGGTCCTGAGACTAGCCGATTTGCGCGTCTCGTTTCTCGATCCTCCCATGAGACAAGATTCAATCGGAGCTAGGAGATCTGCAGTGGGCAATATTGCTTGCAAAAGACAGATATTCCACTGTCCAGAGGATTTCTATGTGAATCTTATGAAACTTCAAGTAATGAAAGCGTTGAAGGAGAGCAAGAAGGGGGGTGATTGACAGCAAATTGAAGCGCAGCCTCTGGGGGCAGTGTAGCACACAGCCACAAATTCATCCTTGTCCACGATGGCAACGTCAGGCCTTTCCCGCCGCCGAGGGGCGGCCGCTTCATCAACCGACCAAGACGACTTCACATCTTCCCCGCCGTCGTCTGCCCACACACCTGGGAGCACCACGCCCGCCGCAGACACGCACGCACACGCCGGCTCAGCATTTGCATTCGGCGGGTCACGTATCGCTTTCGACCCACGCGACCTGCCGTCCGCCGATACCGAAGTAGAAGGCGGGACTGTCCCCAAGCTGACGCTCATGGAGGAGGTGCTACTACTCGGCATCAAAGACAAGCAGGGATACCTCAGTTTCTGGAATGACAATATCAGCTACGCGCTGCGCGGATGTATACTCATCGAGCTCGCTCTGAGAAGGAGGATCGCGATTGTTCAGGATCCGTCGCGGGTGCGTTGTTTCCCTCCGTGTGCCTGACTCGCTATCACCCCAGTCGCCTACACTCTCTCGCTCCATCGTCACAGCTACGCGCTCCGGTGTACGTACTGACGTTCTCCCGCATAGAAACGCAGTCCACTGCCCGACCGCCACATCACAGTTCTCTCCACCCGTCAGACCGGGGAGACACTACTCGACGAAACGCTGCGGCTCATGAAGCAAACAGAGGATGGAGGAGAACGCATGGGCGCAGGAACATGGGTCGATCTGCTCAGTGGTGCGTGTTTCTCTCTATCGCCTTTCCCCCCGCATCCTCGTCTTCTCTCTCTGGGTGGCTCAGGCTGTGCAACGCTCGTTCTGCGGAGCGTCGTGCATTCAGGACTCTCGAGAGTATGCCGTATCGCATCGCTGTTGTCTAAGCACACGCTCATCTCCCTTGTCCGGAATATCTTGCATATTGCGTCATAGGCTCACTCTCACCCCTTCAGGCGAGACGTGGAATCCTCTGCGCATCCCTTTCCAGCTAAAACAAGTTCGTGAGCGGCTAGCGAAGGGACTAGTCGACAAGGGTGTCCTCCGAACCGAAAAACGCAATCTCTTGCTCTTTGACATGGCCACGCATCCAGTCGCTGACGCTAATATCAAAGCCAGTGTCGTCAATCGCACAGTTGCTCTGTTGACCAGTGGCACGAGTGCGGTGTGTGTTTCTGCCATGGATATCAGGGAAAGGATCTGACCGAGAACCCACTGACAGATCCCACCAAACGCTTTGCTTCCTGCTGGGACACAGGCCCGGACGCTCCGGGCAGTATGTCTCGTCGTCTCTGCGTACACTGCAAGCGTGCTTGACAACGCGTTCGGGCGACTGGGATATGAAGAACGGGAGGGTGCCTTTGCTAGGTGAGATGAGTTGTGTCGTGTTGACAGACGAAGTGCACTGACTATCATTCTCCAGATGCGACGAGATCCTCGCAGAATTCACAATGTGGCCGCTTGGCGGTGGTGGAGGTAAGCGAATTGTGCTTTCGCTAGGTTTCTGAATACTCATACACGCGCAGAACCGAAACGGACGAAACCACGTGTGGCGGGTGGATCCTCTGCTTCCTACATCTCCGGTGCAGAGAGCGTTCGGGGACTGATCGCCGCTGTGAAAGCGGAAGCAGCAGAGGCATCAGCTGGCACAGCAGTGGAAGATAACACGGGCATGGAGCTGATCGCCGCCGTCTTCGAGGTCCTGGGTAAACTAGACTCGTTGCTGTAGTTGCAAGGGACATGCACTGTCGATATGCGTAACGCCAGTGTACTCCATCTTCCGTACTGCTCTACTCGTTCCTCTTGAGATGCATGTTGTAACTCAAACTGCCAGGGCAGAGTAGAGAATCATCGCAGAGCCGCACTCTTCCACCACAGGCCCCTATGACAGCACCCCCTACTAAAGCCCGGCGACCCTGTGTGACTAGACTAAAGAGCCCGCCTTTTCACCTAGAATCCGCACAACTCTCTAGATCTCTTCCCTAGGGTTCTATTTTGGCTTGAGCCTTATCCAGGAAAATTATATCAAATCACGCAGATGACTTGAGTGCAGAGCCAGTCTGTAATCGGACGTCAATAGACAAAAACGCGGCATGTCTTGTGAAAGGAGACTATCCTTTCCAACGGCGGACAATCTGTTTCTTAATGAGGAGCTTGGGATGTGATGTATCGCTGCGATTGAATCATGACCAGACATGCCCTCCGAGCAAAAGGAGCCCAGAGTGGCAGTGACGAGGTGATGACATTCTGCAGTATTGATGGAATAACAGTGTTGGAAACCGATTTTACGGAGGCACGCGAAGGAAGAGCACTCGCCCACAATCTTTTTGAATCTCCCGGCACCCCGATCCGCGCAGGTCTAAAATTGATTCTCGCGGATAAGTACCAAGCTCCTGATTAGTCCACTGTTTACCTGCCCCAGCCTGCCCCCCAGATAGCCTCTCACGAGGATCTTCGAGAATACGACCCTGTGTTCCTCAGTTAATCGATCTCGTCGGCCTGTTGCGATGATTCCGATCCCCTAGAGAAACTTGTGGTCGTCACCCCTAGGTGTGAAGTGTGACCAGTCCGGTCAGCAATTGACCGGTACTTACGGGAAAGGGTGTTACCGAACTGGTCCGGCCCGGAAGGCCTGATGATTCTGTGGCTGCGCCGGCTGATCGGTTGCTATGACCCGAAGCCGCCCAGCATTTTTTTCCACCCACCTGCTCATGTTTTCTCTGATGCCGTTCTTCGCTTCTGCACAGGGCCAGGCAAGTCTACACGCTTCCGACGAAAAGGATCACGGATACTTATCGCTATGGTCCTTACAGATACTGGTGCGGGCCTACTTTTCTGCGCTCCACTCGCATATACAATGCGTTATGCGTTGCCGCAATCGAGGTACCAACAACGAAACGCTGACGCAATCGAATATAAAAGTTTGGGCGCTTATGTAGCTGCCCCACGCGTTTGCCGGGTAAACGAGTTTTTCTGGGGCCCCGACCTACCGCGGGGTATCAGATCTTGATGGGTGCGTCGTGACTCGCGAGAGTAGCGAAAAGCTGCGTGACAGTTGAGCAGGTCTTCGATTGACACAGGGCGCACACTCCTGAACACTGCGTTGGCCCTTCTGTGAATCCATGACCGTGGATCGAAGCAGAATCTTGGGACTGGGACAACGCCGCACATCTTCCGTGGGGGACAGATTGTGCGACCCAGTTCACACATCCATCCATGACACGCTGAATCCAGCTGATGATGCGACGACATGTGTTCGTATGGAATGCGGAGAACGGCTTCTTTTTGTGATAGATGGAGATCCACTTGACCGCCAGAACCCCATTCTGCCCACGTCCGAACGACACATGACCATCGGCCCGGGAGCATCAGAGTGGTTAAAAGCCACGAGTGTGGAGAAAGATTCGACTGTGTTGCAACCCCGTTCCCACCATGAGCAAGAGTGTGAGCGATCTTTCTTTTAGAATGGAGCGCACGTCACTAACGACTTCGACAGTACAGTCCCCGCATTGCATCCAATCCCGTGCGAGGACCCACCTTCTTCTCCGCTCTGACTTCCCTCTGACTTGAGCCCAGTACATCGTTGGATCATTCGCATGTATCGGCGGAGGCCTGTTCGGGCTGGACATCTCGTCCATGTCTGGTGTGCTCTCGAATCCGGCATACCTGAAGACGTTCCACAATCCGACTTCTAACCCTCAGGGAGCCATCGTGGCGGCCATGCCTGCAGGATCTTTCGTTGGGTCTCTGCTCGTCACGTCCCTTGGTGACAAGATCGGTCGTAAGCGGACGGTGCAGCTCGCCGGTCTCATTTGGGTCATCGGGTCTATTTTGCAATGTGCTTCCATTGTGCGTGCATCCACGCTCCTGCGCACGCCCTCCTCCTGACCGTACTCTTCTAGGACCGTGGGATGCTCGTGGTCGGCCGTATCATCTCTGGTATCTCTGTCGGTCTCGCCTCTTCCGTCGTGCCGATCTATCAAGCTGAAGTCACTGCACCTCATCTCCGAGGACGGCTGATTTCGCTCCAGCAGTGGTCTATCACATGGGGGATCCTGATCCAATACTTCATCCAGTTTGGCTGCTCCTACATCAACGGCACCGCATCCTTCCGCATTCCCTGGGGTCTGCAAATGATTCCCGCTATCATCCTCGCAATCGGCATGCAGTTCTTCCCCGAGTCTCCGCGTTGGTTGGTCGACAACGGTCACGAGCAGGAAGCCTTGATCGTTCTAGCCGATCTGCACGGTGGAGGTGACGTCAACGACGAGCTGGTCCTGCTTGAGTACGAGGAGATCCGGCAGCAGGTTGCGTTCGAGCGGGATGAGGGGGCAAAGAGCTACATGGATCTCGTCAAGCCCGGCATTTTCCGCCGTGTTTTCCTCGGTTCGTCGTTGCAGATGTGGTCTCAGCTGTCGGGTATGAACGTGATGATGTGGGTCGTTGTCCTGTGTACATCCTCTCTTCTAACGCGGCGTAGGTACTACATCATCTACGTGTTCCAAGGCGCTGGTCTCTCCGGTCGTCGAGGCAATCTCATTGCCGATGCGGTCCAATACGTGCTCAACGTTGTTGCCACCGTCCCGGCCATCATCTACATCGACAAATGGGGCCGTCGGCCCATGCTGCTCGCGGGCACTCTCGCTATGGGATTCTGGCTGTTCCTCGTCGGCGGCCTGCAGTCCAAATTCGGGCACTGGGACACGAGCTCGCCACCCGTCTGGGTTATCGAGGGCCACGACGCCGCGACCAAGGCCATCATCGTCTGCTCGTACTTGTTCGTCTGCTCGTTCGCCGTGACTATGGGCCCGGTTTCTTGGACTTACCCGGCCGAGCTGTTCCCGACCAAGGTGCGCGCCAAGGCCGTCTCTGTAGCCACCTCGGCCAACTGGGCTTTGTGAGTGATAACGTTCGCTATCCTGTCCTCATCTCATCTGTCCACAGCAACTTTGCCCTCGCGTGGGCGGTCCCACCTGCGCTGTCCCATATCGCGTACAAGACGTATTATATCTTCGGGACCTTCAATTTCGCCGCCTTTGTGCACATCTTCTTCATGTTCCGTACGTCGATGTCTGCCATTCTCGGCTGTCCCCACTCACATCCCGCAGCCGAAACCGTTGGCCGCTCGCTCGAAGAAGTCGAAGCCATCTTTGCGGAGGGACACGTCTTCTCGCCGTGGCGGATTGGTCGCGATGTTGGGGTCAAAACCCTGGCCGAGGTGTCTGCGGCGAGGAAGACGGGTGCCAACGAGGAAAAAGCTAGCGTCGAGAAGCTCGAGGCTTGAGCACATCTTGTTACCTGTAGTTTACGTTTCTTTCACGATGGTCGCATGTCTGCTTTACGATTTGTTGTACGATAACTGCACGTAGTTTGAATGATATCGACGCACTTGAATCTCATGTCGTATGGCGCACTATGATGGAACGGAACATACTTGGAAAGATGAACATTTTTCAAGTGCTCGCGACTGGTCGACTAGACCCATCTGCACTGCACTAGAAGCAGAGACAGTCCGCACTTCTTTCAAACCAGCTGTGCGAAGCCCCAGTTCAAGCGGGGCTGGTCCTGAGTGCATCGGAGTGGAGCTGAACGCGGGACTGACGTGTCAGCGCTGTGAGAAGTGTCAAGTCCCTGCTCTCAAGTATATAACTGCATCATGTCAACGAGGAAACATGCCGAGACAAAAAGTTAGTGACGTCTGAAGATGCTGCGATCAGAATTCATCCAGAGCCCCAACTCTGGCTGAGACACGAAGATCATCATTGAAGACAATCACCAAGCGGCCTATCTCGCATTCGGGGGTGCAAGCGGTCACTCTTGTTATGCGTCACATCTCCTTTTCTTTCACCGGCTGGTACCAATTGATATAAGTATTCTGCGGGACCTACGATTAGAGGACCGAATCCTTGCATGCGTCCAACTTCGCCTCAATGCCGCGCTGGCTAGCCGGCTCTGCTCATGGCCCTCGCATACCGTACAATAAGTGAAGACTGCCGCCTGATCCCCCCGTCCTCTGCCTGTGAGCGGGATTTCATCGAGGTCGCCGGGAGTGCAGCTGCTCTAAAAGGAAATACGAAAACCTTGAAGGATGGAGCGCCTCGGGTGGCTTAGCTGCAAGGGGTGTTGAGCATGGGTGGACGGTACGGGTCTGTATGCTGACACATTTGGCACTGCTCGTCAGCCTCCAATGAACATCGTTGCGTGAACGCCGGACTGGCGACGAGGGCAGATCCTACGGGTCTCTTGAACTCACTCGCTCAATCAATCAACGACGACAGCCTATGCGCCAGCTCATCAACGTGAGTGGTGGCTTCATCTCTAGTTATCTGTTCGTCCGACTCATCTTTGCTCTCTCTCTCACCCGTTCATACTCACGAGTTCCCGTAAAACGGGGCCTGGACCGAACGGACGCGGAAATGGATGGACAGTCGAGCATTTCACTTAGACGAGGAAGATGCGAGCGGGAAGCCCCGGCGACCGTGGCCTTCAAGTCACCTTCGCTCCAGGCCACAGGTGCCTGACACCAAACCAGACTCACTATCGGCGGTCCTGTTCAGACGACTCCAGCGGAAAGCGTCGCCTAATGGCATCGAGCAGAAGATTCCGGCCGTCTACCGTTATTCACTCTTCAATCCCATTCTCTTATGAACATGCTTCTACTCTTTACCAATAACCTCCTAGTCCTCTTCTTGTGTAAGGTCTTAGTTACCGGCCCTATACTAGTTTTGGGGTTTACCGGAGCTCGCCGATCTGTCAACGAGACGTTCTTGCTAGAGTGTCATGTAAGTGAAAACCATCTCATTTGAAATCCTCCTCTCACGATCAAAGCAACGAGGTCAGCTGGAGTCATCTTCTGTATGATGAATCACCCAACCAAGTTCGCCACCGGCAAGCGTATCCGTTCATGGGACAATCCCCCCTCTCTTGCTCCCTTTACGCCAATGAAGACCAACGCAAAATCACACTTTGACCAGCTCCCGGGCGCGCACGCACCCTCGGCCCGCAAGGCGCAATCTCGGTGGGGCATCTTGACTGCCGTAGCAACTGTCGGGCTTCTTCTCCTGTGGTGCAAGCCAAGCAGCCTGCTACTGCCGCCTACGCATCCATCTGCGGCGTTCCCACTCTCCACTCGTCTCGACCAGTGCCCGCAAGCCCAGCCCCTGGTCCCTACAATGCATGTCAATCTGTGGACGACACTCATCGCACTGCATCACACCGACGCGTTCCGACTTCGGGCCGTTCAAGGACTGGGCGCGGCTGTGCGGATTCCGACGGAGACGTTCGACGCGATGGGCCCAGTGGGCGAGGACCCAAGATGGTTGTCTCGCGCGCCTTTCCAGGTCCACCTCGAAACGGCATACCCAAAAACGTGCGTGTCGTCTGAATCTGATCTGCGAAGGTTGGGCTGACGCAGATTTATATGCAGACACGCGGCACTCTCACTCCAGCGAGTGAATACTTATGGATTGGTGTACACCTGGAAGGGTTCGGACCCCAGTTTGAAGCCGTTGCTGCTTATGGGACATTACGGTCCGTGAAAGCAGAGGAAAGTCTTTGATTACTGACCGCGCTCTCTATCATCCAGACGTCGTTCCGGTTGCTCCATTGAGTGTTGATCAATGGACGCACCCAGCGTACTCAGGCTACTTCGACGGTAAATCTGTCTGGGGAAGGGGTAGCTCGGACGATAAGAGCGGCGTCATTGGCATCATGTGAATGCGATCCTTCCATCCAGTCTTCACTGCTGATCTTCGGCAGGACCACCATAGAAACCTTACTCGAGCACGGGTTTGTGCCTAGACGCTCAATCGTACTTTCGTTTGGCTTTGACGAGGAGGGCGGTGGTTTTCATGTAGGCAGCCCGTCGCAGTGGGGCATCGTCGTCTTATACCTCGTCCAGGGCGCAGGGCATCTCGGTCCAGCTCTATTGGAGCTCTACGGCCCGGACTCTTTTGCGATGATCGTCGATGAAGGGTGTACGTATCATTACCAGCCCTTGGGCCCGAACTGAAACAATGCACCAGCCGGCTTCAGCGATCAGTATGGCTCCATATTCGCTGTTCCCGGGGTCGCCGAGAAAGGCTTCGTCACTGTCGAACTGGAAGTCAAAACCCCTGGTGGTCATTCAAGCGTACCACCTGAACACACGAGCATCGGCATCCTCGCTGCGCTCATCGTTGAATTGGAAAGCAATCCACCTGCGGCCAAGTTCGAGACAGACAGCACATTCTTTGACATGACGGTGTGCTATGCTTCCCACGGACCCGACATCGACACCGGCTTGCGAGCGGCAATCCTGGCGTCGCCCCGCAACGAATCTGCCCGTGCAGAAGCGGAACGGATCCTGTCCAAGGACAAGACCTTCCGGTCGCTATTTGGGACAACGCAGGCGGTGGTTATCGTGAATGGAGGTGTGAAGAGCAATGCCCTACCAGAGCAGGCGGCCGTGAGTGGACGATTTTGCCAAGTTTTCCCAGCGCCTTACTCTGTGCGATAGGCTTATATCAATCACCGCATTTCGACCAAAAGGTTTGTTTGTCTTTCTGACTTTGCGTAGTGAAAGAACTGATGCCTTCTCAGCTCTGTCGCCGAAACCGTCAATAGGGATCATGCTATCCTGTCTTCGGTAATCGAGAAGTACTCTCTGGGTGGCAGTTCAATTGAGCTTCGATCGTCTGGAAATCTTGAGCCTGCACCAATCACTTCATCCAACGGCGCAGCTTTCGAACTTCTTTCAGGATCCATTCGAGCTGCGTTCCACGAGTGGCATGACGATGAGATCTACGTTGCACCTGGAATGATGACAGGAAACACTGGTGCGTGCTCTCAGGTTTTGTCCTCGGTGAATCATCTCAATGACCAATGGGAAGATACACGCTTCTATTGGGATCTTACAAAACACATTTTCCGGTACGGACATACCAATGGCATCGGAAAGATTGATAATGGTCTGGGGGGCATTCACACTGTCAATGAACGTGCGTATATCATATGATTCATGGGCTGCATCCGTCTCTGACAGGGTCACAGATATGTCCGCCTCTGCCTTCATTGAGATGATAACTTTCTTTACCACGCTGGTTCTCAATGTCGACGAATCTGTATTGTAGTCTATTCAGTGTCCTCTCTTCTATGTAGAAAGATAGTACTCGCGCAAAATCACGCAGCACACTTAGGTGGCGTGCCCGAACAGACTGTGGGATGCACTCCGGGAGATGGCAAATAACAGGAGTCACAGAATCAATTATATTTGTAGTAATAGTACATAGGCTACACCCCCCCCTGCAGCCTTCCCTCTTGTTCAGGCCGCCCAAGGCCACTAAAAAATCTGGAAAAATGCGCAAATAGTTGCTAGGGTCCTGGGTAAGATGACGCATACTGGCGTCCCCACTCCGGCCAATGGTGCATATCCCATATCGAAATCCGTGGAGGGTCTCAAAATGATCACTTCCCATCAGAGCTTTTGATGGGATGGGGACGCAGAATGTAGTCTACACAACATTTGTGTTTTTATTACATGGGTCGTTAGCTGCATACTTAAGGATATAGGATCTCGAGTTATACATTTTTATCTTCAGCGGTTCTTTCAAAATATCATGATCTCTCCGTGCAGCCATCACTTGCAGCCGTCAGCTCTACATATGGGGACGCAGGGGGTCTATGGTCTATCTGAAACAGCAAAAAGTGCCTAGAGAACCGTATGATACAAATAGACTACTCAAAACAATATATATACTACGTTGTGGAAGGTACGAGACGAGATAACCTCGTCAAACATCTCTTGAGTCACGTCTCGTGACCACCGTCACGTCAGCTTGTGCGATCATTGCTCTGCTCATACATCTGACCAGGCAACCGCGGCCAGCGACGAACGGGTGTGGGGTGGATGGGCTGGGGAGCTAGTATCTATCCCTCTCCTCATCCGCGGGCCCGGAGAGAAAGTGGTCCCCGAACATTTTTTCCTTGTCAAAATTTTTATAAACTACATCGGCGGGTAGCCTAGGGTCCCCTCCACCAGTGTACATACCGGGGACCACTTTTTATTTACATTCCCTTCCGTTGGAGATCATCCATCAAAGGGTATGTTTTCTGTGCGACCAAAAATGACAACCTTCCATGATCGGGTGGTCCCCGATCTCAAACCTTTCCACAAAGTGGTCCCCGACATCTAGGAACGTCCAAGTACCTTCCCTGAAGGTTTCCTGAAAATTAGGTATTTTTCTGAGGCCCACAGGGCGAGATATTAACTCATCTTTCTTGTCACAATCAACTTTTTCATGCAGATCATTTTGCACATCGTTCATGTGGTCCCCATGCCTCTTTTTCATTTTCGCATCAGCAGAAGTCTTTATTGCTCTCTCTACTCACGGGTTCAAAAAGTAATGGTCACTCCGTGATTTCTCTACATATTTGGGCCAAGAAAAGTACATTATTACAACTTAGAAACGTGTATGACCTCCTTCCGCATCTAATACAGCCTGTACGCGGTCAATCATCCGTCCGGTATGTTTGTTGATGTCATCAATTGGCATTGCATCCCACTCCTCCATGATGGCGGCTTTCAGCGTCTCGAAAGATGTAGGACGCGGTTGGCGACATCTGACACGCTTCTTGAGCTCATGCCAGACTGGTTCGATGGGTGAAACGTCGGGCGAACAGGCAGGGTGTGGGAAAAGATGGACTTTGTGACGTTTCAGCCAGTCACAAGTTGACTTGGCAGTGTGACAGGACGCGCCGTCCTGCTGGAAGTAGATGCGGATGCGTCGGCCGCGTTCTTCGCGAAGCGTCTTCATGGTGTTGAGAAGATACTTGTCGAGGACCTGTTGTTGGTACCGCTTCGCCGTCATGCCACCGCCAGGGCCTCCTGGGTACTTCAAAACCACAAGCGGCCCTTTCCATCCATGAGCAATACATCCCCACACCATAACGCGCACCGATGAGTCCTTCAGCTCTGGGACAAGACAGTCCTGATCATAAACCTCCTCCACTGTGCGCGTCACCCAGATCCGGCCTGAGCTCTCTGTCAAATGGATGTAACATTCGTCCGACCACAGAATCCGCTCCCACCCTCGCATCCGCATCCCCTCGTTTCGACGTGCCCAAGCCATCCGATCCTCCTTGTGCTTCTCCGTAAGGTATGGGACATGCCGCGCAACCCGTCGGTGCATCCCCACACCATCCAAGACATTGGCAACTGTCGTCGCGCCCACAGGCGGATCTGTCATGTTGCCGATGTCACAAAATGGTAGCCGCCGGTTCTCTCGCGCTGTTTCCACCATATTGGACTCCATCTCTGGTGTAACCTTTTTCGGACGACCACTCTTGGGTCTGTCGGACACGGATCCGGTCTCGCGATACTTCTTCCAGATCTTTCGCGCAGTGTGGAAGGGAATGTTGAAGGTCCTTGAGTGCTTTGCGAGTTGTGAATCTGCTATCATGGCACCAACAAACTGGTTTCGCTTCTCGTCAGAGTGGTAGGGATGAGATTTAGATTTTGGCATGGTAGTTAGGTAGAAGACGGTGTGTAGTCTACATGACATCAATCTCAGGCCACATGACGGCGTTGGTGGAGCGCACAGCTCCAAATGATGCAGTGACCATTATATTCTGATCGCGCGAGTAGATGACCCTCAGAAATTTGCTTAGTTACTGTGTGTTTTTCTGTCGTGAACGACTTCAACGACGGCTGCGACTCAGTTCTATGTTTTTGTCACGTCACATCACACCTTTCACCCGGTCATACGCTGGACCCCTCCTCCCTCACTTTGTCCCCTTCTTTGCTCCTTGCGACAACATCCCTATTGCATCGCCAATGCCGCACACCTCGACTAGTGACTCAAGGTCGTCGACTCACGGCCCCGGGACGATGGATTGGGAGGTTCAGATATCCCGGGAGCCGGATAGACGAGGGGTGGAGTGCAGTGAGAATGTAGATGGTGGAGACACCCAGGCGCGTCCTTTTTTACAATCGGGCTCGAACGCGCGATCTCATGTGCAGCAGCACGTTGTGCTATTTGCGGCATCACGCATACATATCGTGCCGCTGTCTGCTTACCTCAAACGCACCGGTGGCATACTCGATTGCATGCCCTCAACAACTCCCAACGGCCGCGACCACTGAACACAACCGGGGAGATGGCTCTCACAGGAACGGGGCGTGGCAGCTGGATGCGTGAATGGGCGGAGCACGAGAGTGCATGGTGCGCAGCTTCAGAAGTGCGTTTCTTGCTGTCCGCCCTTCCTCCCGCTGTCCGCCGTCCCAACAAATCACGCCGCGTACACACCAGAAGATCGTGTTCTTCGCGCATCTGGGAATTAGACGTGGCTTCGCCTCACGTACCCGCAGCGCATTTAGCGGCCATTTCATTGCGCCGATCGTGCACCCTCAACGCCCATCGATCAATTTTCGGCTACCGGACCAACGAACGAAACAGGGGCCATGGGAGCACGGAAGTCGGAAGGGCGATCGGATGCAGCGCAGGCTGAGTGGATGGGGCCAGCCCGCAGGTGCGTTTCTCTGCACCTCAACATCTCACTTTCCGCTCACTACGTGGTTTTCGCGGCATCGTAAACCCACACTGCACGTTTACATAGATGGAACGTGTCGTCATTTTGACCTAGGCCTAGGGCGCGGGCTTTTGTATCTCGGCGACCGGCATGCCCTCCCTGGCGGTCCCTGTCGCGTCGATATGAGGCTTCGCGTCTGGCTCGCTGGAAGTCAACGGTAATATGTGCGGCTAGGTCCCTGGTGCGTTGTCATCTGCCTGTCTCTTGGCTACCACTGATTATTGCGCAGCATCCACGGACATGTGCGCGTGTCCTCTTGACTCATTCCGACGCGGCACGTGCGTCGGCCCTGCCCTCCCACTACTGTCGCCGCCTCTCTTGATGACATCCATGCTGGGTTGACGATTGCCAACGAGGCCGACGTCGCTGTTGTTTTGGGTACGAAAACATCCACCTCTGTTGGTGTGCCCGCCGGCATAAGGGCATGGACCTGCGCCTTTGGGGCATATGCCGAATCTCGCTGCTCTACTTCCAAGGTTCGTGCATTCGATTGCACAAACGGCGTATCTAACCCTTTGAGCTAGAGCCTGTAACAATACTGGTATGCAATGCGCTCCGATGCCACGGACTTCTCAGACCTGCAAACCCATCTATATACTCCCTACTTACCCACTCTATATACAGATTCCTTGTACATTGTATCACATAGGCCTTTCTTCTAGTCAGACATCCTAGATACTCAGTTTTCTCCTTGTGAAGTTGGTCCTCTGATTATATTGCGATGCTCCTATTGCGGGACAAGTCGGACTAGGAAAACACAGCTCCAATTTGTATCATAAATTCACTGGGAGGCAGTAGCCCAGGTCTAAGTCCTACTGAATGCAGTGCGAATTCCAATAGCTATCCCTGTCCTCATTGAAATGTTTATGTACTATCATCATGGCACCGCCTTACCTAAGTCCAAGCAGCTTGCAACGTCATTCCACGTGACCTTAATCCATATCGTGACCAAACACCGCCTTACTTAAGTTCAAGCTGCTTGCAACGTCATTCCGCGTGACCCTAACGCACATCAGGATCAAGCACTGCCTTACTTAAGTCCAAGCAGCTTGCAACGTCATTTCGCGTGACGCTCAATCTGTTCACACGACGTAACCCGCCGTTTCCTTCACTCCTTCCGACGATCTCAAAAGGCTTTCAGCGTGCGTATGGATAGTGTAGTCATTCAAGCGGAAATTTGGAGCTAGCCACTTACTGCCCATCAGGTGCTAGCCTTCACAAGTCTTCCTTGCCAGGAACGTTGGCTGCTTCTCTTCTCCCCCTGCCACTCAGCTCAATTGCATTTCGGCTTAACATGAAGTTCCTTGTCACTTTCGATCGGAAAGCGGTCCGCAATAGTGCCTCCAGCCGTACAGTCGCATCGCTCTCCCCCTGCCGTTACTATGTCCACCACCCAAGCCCCATTCTCACGTCGCCAGCCCTCCCTTCCGGGCCACTTCTTCTGCAAGAGATGCCGTCGCTACTATGAAGAGAAGGATGGCAGCAAGGCCGTGCACCGGCGCACATTCCATCAGGCCACTCTTCGTGCAGCATACCACTCGGAAGAGCAATCCTACACCTTCGAACGAGGTGCCGACGGCCTCCTTTCGTGCGCTCGGTGTTCTTTCCAGCACCACGATCCTCGGGCTCTATGGGTGATTATAGTTGCTTTTCTGATGACTTCCTCTCATTCTTCAACAGCGTCATGTTACTGGTGAAAGAGTGTGCCCGCAGACTTGGGGCTTGGATCTCCAGCCATCCTTAGCTCAAGAGCTCGACGCAAGTGCTTCAGAGTCTCTAGGCCAAACGGATGTTAACGATGAGGAGGTGGAACTGGAAGGTGTGCGGGTAGCAGAGGAAGTGGAGGCGGGGGTGGATAAGGAGGTCGACTGCGGCTACGCCTATCGCCAGCCTATCCCATCCCCGATACTGTTGGCAGGCGATGTGCCCGCTACTCCCGAAGTGACAATGGCCTCGTCGGCTTCATCAGGCGTGAGCCCTCTCCATTCGCCCAATCCAGCCGACCATCCGCCCATTCCAGTGGCTCCGGAGACTATCCAACTCACCCAATCACCAGCCAGCGTCCCTCCTGTCGAGGAGTCCTCGTCGGCACCCATTCAGTCGCTCGAGGATTGGCCTCAGTTTGATCACACGCAGTACGACATACCTCTTGGCCCAGATACTGTAACTCACGACGACGATGTTGACTTCGAGCGGTACAACATCACCATCAACAAAACCCTCAGACTCCTGGTCTGCATCTCGTGTAGCAAGGCTATAGGGCCCGCTCGTCTACGGCGTCATATCCTGGACAAGTGGCCGCACCTCGAGGTCCCTGACGACATCGGCAAGAAGCTCCAGGACAAGTACGGCCTCGCGGGCGCAGACGACTGGTCTTTCCCTACAGCTCGAATCCCGCCCGTTTACGGCCTGGCTGTTCTTCCCGATCCCTACCTCTTCTGCAACCAGTGTCACCATGGCTACTCGAGTCTTTCATCGCTTGAGACGCATCATTACAAGCGCACCTGTGAACGTCCGCCGGGGCATTTGCCGGGTTCTTTCATTGGGTACGGACAGACAGCTGGTTTCGATCCGCGGGTTGTCTTTCCCGTTGACGTTTCCCTCCTTGCACCGCGCGTTCGTCAACTCGGTTTTACGACTAAGCTCTTCGACGTTCTCCCAAGGCCCGACTACTCGCATCTTCCCATCTCCAAGCCAGTCAACTCTTGCAATATCGACCTCCTCTTCAAAAACGAGGACTTTTATTCGCTTGTTGGGACCCTTACTCCGGAACAAGTCAATCAGTCCGTCGATTGCACCCCCCACACTGTCGAGGATAAGCTCATATCGACGCACCTCGATGTCGTATCTCGCGCATACTGCAAATCCATCCAGGCCGCCATCACCAAATCTCCTGCCGGACTTCGTAAACTCATGGCGCAGCTCGGACCGTAAGTCTTCACACCTGTGCCTAGGCACGCTACTAAGCTGTCGCTTCTAGTGAATCATCTCGCGAGGAGCTGAGGCCACTCGAGGATAACTCGCTGAATCAATACTCCGCCGTGATCGCGAATATAATCAACACGATGCTCCGCGCTTACGCCAGCGACACACAGCCTCTGAAGTTCCCTCTCAACGAAGCACAGCGCCATGCCCTGGCAGGCTTGCGCGTTCTTCTCATGCGTGCCGAGCTTCCCGCCAACAACCTAGTCGACATTTACTTCCATCGAGCATGCTTTGCTCTGTTTGCTGACGAGAAATCGCACGGAGGACTCGACAACTGGGTACTCCCAGTTAACCGTTATCTCGTGGCTCGATGCATGGGCAGGGAGACGTGGATCAAGGCCAACGACATCACACGCATATGCGCAAAGCTACAATGGCTAAACCGGGGCGTCATGTTGACGGAAATGAATCTTCGCATGCCAGAGCGTCTCATGTCATCTGCGCAGTGAGTCCGTTTTTCGCGTTGCATCCACTGCTCTGACGACGCTGCAGAGCTTATCACGAGGTACAAAAGTATCTGGTGGCCAACGGCGACACTCCATGCTCCTTCATCTACGAAGTTCACCACACGGTGAAGAAGATTCGAGACGAGTACAACGACGCTGACGTGCAGATGGAGAACGAATCGCACACCCGGCTCATATTCGATGGCCATCGCATCGATCTGCACCAGTTCAAGACGCTCGCAGATGCACTCGCTTGACGTCACGCAGACATATTGGGCGAAAATATCTTCTTTGGCAAAGGCGTCGATCCCTCTTGCTTCCCACCCTTCGAAATCGAGGATTTGATCGACAAGCCCCACAACTTTGCCCCCGGATTCTGTTTCCTCGACATCCCCTCCAATGGGTTTGAGGATTGGGCCAAGCTGTACCCCCGCTGGCTTTTGTCACACCCCGACCTCGCTGAACGATTCACGTACGTACTCAATGGCGAACACCGGTGGAAACTCCTGGCGGTCCGGCAGCTGCTTGAAAGCTTCGAAGAGCTACGCCTTGTACTTGCAATCCGCTGCATTGTTTCATGTGGGCCCTCCGTCCGTGCAGCCGAATTCGCGCGTCAATCCCTTCGCAACCTCCCTGGTGGCGCAGCACGCAATGTCGTCCTGCTCTATCGTACACTCTGTCTGTTGGCTGTGCTGGAGAAGACGAGCATGCAGTTTTCTCGGAAACACTGCACCCCTCACTGCCCGGTCAAATCCGTATCGAAGGACATCATATGGAATCTAGCTGTATTCCGCCCGTTCGAGCAGTTCCTCATATCACGCTTCAAGGGTCACGTCGACGCCGAACGATACTACACTTCCATGTGGCCTGGGATCGACTGCGACTTCACCAGCCAGCTTATCAGTACAACGCTTGGCCACTGGACCGAGCAGGTGTTGGGTGTCAGATTGCAGATCATCGACTATCGCAAGATCGTCAGCACGTTCTGCCGATACATCGTCGACCCCTTCTTGTACAAGAATATCGAAGATTCTCTTTTCGACGAGCTCCAGAATCACACGACGGGCATGAGCTACATGCGGTACGGCGTCGAGAAGCAGACACTAACTGTCTGACCCCTGGAAACAGCATGGTGTTTCCATGAAGCGTGTTTCGCGCTTTGTGCTCGAAATTTTGAACAGGTTTTCAGGGTCTAGCTTTCACTTTGTCAGTGCGCACCAAGGGCCTAGACCCTCGGTTGGCCCAGTACGGCGCATGTTTCCCAGTGATGATTTTTTTTTCCAAGTCTTTAGGGTTGGATTAGGGTTGGAATAGACTGCAGTCACATGATATGACCTGACTTTGCCCTAACCCTAAAATAGGGTTATTTGCAATCCTCTTGTCTGTTTGACTAAGCAGTACACCTGTCAACCTGGAAAAAAAAAAAAAAAGTCAATCAAGCAAAGTGAATTCCAAGACTGGAGAATGCAACATAACAATAGCCAAAGTATAGTCATATCTACAATTTTATGTATGTGTAAGGGCAACCTTGAGATCTCAGAGTCCAGACAAGAGAGAATTCAAAGAGAAACTGCTCTTGTTGGAGATTCTTTTTGCCAGGTGCCACCATCAAAAACAAGCACTTGGGCACAACAGCTGATAGGTCGCATAAGCATGATCACATGCCAGATCAGAAGCAAAGGGGTTTCCCTAACATGGACATTCAATAGGCATACAAAGGAGGGTGATTGTTATAGTTCGACCCTTTTTTATCTTATCACGGATCATGGCATCAGACGGTCCGGGCTAGGGGTTCTAGGGATTATCTTTATCGATTCAAGGCTGCGCGACATATGCTCCAGAAGGTTCTATCACAACTCATGACCAGCGCTCCATGCGGTACATAGCCCTATGACTCATTAGTTGTAGATATGACTCGGACTGGATTTGGGGATAAATACTGTAGCTACTTGGTTGTATTCTCCAGTCTTCGAATTGACTTCTCTTTTTGACATTATTTCTTGTTGATTGTCACAGTGATGAATGCAAGGCTGTGTTTTGTACAAACCGGGGGCCTATACAAGCCCTCACAAATTGTCTGGCCACCTTCTGGAACACAATGAACAACATATTGTAGGAGCTGATCAACAAGGGCTACAAGGTAGTTTATCTTGACAATATACTGATCCTTCACAGAGAATCTGGACAAACACCCACAAATCACAAAGCAAAATACTCAAATTGCTCCAAAGGCACAAGTTGTATCTAAAGCTGTCAGGGGAACCCCTTGTAAGGGCAACCTCAAGACCTGATCTTGGAGTTCTGGCAAGGGAGAATCCAAAGAGTCAATAGAGGCTAGCTAGGTACGAGACCAGCATACCTGGCAAGGGAGAATCCAAAGAGAAACCGTATTGGGGATTCTCTCTGCCAGGCCAGGCACCACTATTTATATGATACAGGAACAATAGACCACACAGCAGCAAACACAAGAACAATAGGAACAATAAGTACAATGGCCATGACAGAACAATAGGAAACAGAGACAATAGGAACAATGGCACCACCTGTCATCAAAGAGAAGCGCTTGGCGTGGCAGTCCGGGCCACTGCACATGACAGCTGACAGGTCACATGAGCACAATCACATGCCAGATCCCAGGCTGATTGGTCATGCATGTGCTATCTGTCAAGTGTCACATGCTTCGGTCCAGACTTCCCTGCCAAGCACATTCACACAACCCCTCAGGTCCAAGCTCTTATTGTTCTGATGGGTAAGATGATGTGATGGTTTGCAGGTATTCTCGCTATGTAGCCATCCCTTCTATTCATTTGACCAAGTCAAGTACTGCTTTCCTTGGCCAACATTTTGTTTCTTCATAATTTCTTTCACTTCCCACCCACTCTTCTGCTTCTCCGATCATCTTGGCTATGGGTCTCTTTTCTTGGCAATGGGGGTGATTTGTGATAGGGGTGTCAACAGTGACCTCATTGAACACCAGGTATCTTGGATCTGTATCCGGCAGATCCAACTTCTATGTGGCTGCTCCAACATTCTCCAGAATCTTGTATGGTCCCAATCTCTTGTCGCTCATCTTCTTTGAAGGCCTGTTTGTCTTGATATTATCCCCTTCTATGTACACTTTCATCCCAACCTTCAACTCCGGAACTTCTTTTCTTTGTTTATCATAGTATTTTTTTCATTTTTTCATTTGCTTTTTCTAGTGCTGCTTTCACTTTGTCTTGTATTTCTTTGATTCTTTTTACAAATTCCTCCGTTGACTCGTTTCTCAATTCCATCCGCTGCTCTACTCCCTTCCATGGGTGATATCTGTGATTTGCATAGAACGGTGATATTTTGGTAGACGTGTTCATTTTGTCGTTATATGCAAACTCTGCCATTCCCAGCCATTCCGACCAGTCTGTCTGATGGTAATTGACGTAGATGTGGAGATAATATTTGATCTCCTGATTCATGCGCTCCGTTTGTCCATCCGTGATTGGGTGATATGCGGTCCCCGGATTCATTTCCACGCCCAACATCCAATTCATCTCCTTCATGAAGCCCTTGATGTATCATGAGTCCCTGTTGGTGATGATCTTGCAAGGGATCCCGTGATAGCGGAAGACTCGGTCCCTGGTTAACCGTGCTACTCCTTTGCTGCTGATGTCAGTACTAATTGGTTCAAAAATGGATTATTTTTGTGAAGGTGTCACACTACACTACACATGAATTGCATCATACCCATTACTGACCGACAAGGTCCAATTTGATCCATTGAGATGATTTCCCACAGAGTGTTTGGAACTGCATGTGGGTGCAGAGTCCCTGTCCTTGCTCTTCTGGTCTTGGTGCATTGGCATGCCTTGCACGTCTGGATGTATTTCCGAATTTGGTTTCCCATCCTTGGCCACTAGTAGTTCCTTTTCATCATCTCCTGCATTCTGTTGATCCCAGCCTGTCCAACCAAAGGTGTGTCATGGTGTAGCCCAATGATCTTGTCCCGCAGCTCCTTGTCCCTCGGTACATAGAGCTTTCCATGATACGTGATGAGTCCATCTTCCTTTTTCCATCCAACAAGAGACTTCTCTAAGGCCGCCTTGACGCTTCCATCAATCAAATGGCCTTGAACTCATCAATCAGCTGCTGATCTTGCCCTTCAAATGTGACTTCTTGTGATCAGAAGAACTCGGGATTTAGTAGCATGATGTCCTTGTTGTTTTTCTTGCCCTGATCGTGATCTGCTTGTTGTGATAAGAGATCTGCCTTGCGGTTGAGTGCGCTGGGCTGGTGTCGTAAGATGAAATCAAATTCTGCTGATTCTGTGATCTATTGTGCTTGCCGTCGGTTGAGCTTTTGTGGCTTCTAGAAATCCTCGAGATTTTGATGATCAGTGAAGATCTCGAACGTTTCCATGGCTCCATGGCTCCCAGTAGTAGCTGCCTCCATTTGTCCAATGATAGCATGATTGCAAGCATTTCTTTGTTATAGATCTCATAATTTCACTCGGTTTCAGTCAATGCATGTGAAATAAACACAATTGGGCACCAAATGCCATCTTGGTTTTGGCTCAAAACAGATCCTGTTGCCCCTTCTGAAGCATTGGCTTCCAGACAATATTGGCCGGTGTTATTTGGCAGTGCTAAGGCGATTCTCTTCTTCAATCCATCAAATGCTGCATGCTCATCTGTACCCCATGACCATCCTGCCTTCCCTGTCAGCTGCGTCAATGGCTTGGCAACCTCTGCATATCCCCGGACAAAGTGTCAATAGAAGTTGGTGAACCCCAGGAATGCTTGGACTTGTTTGACGCTCTTTGGTTCAGGCCATTCCATCACACCCTTGATTTTGACTGGGTCCATCTGCATAGAATTGTGTCCAATAGTTATCCCCAGATATTCAATTTCCGTGTGTTTGAACTCGCACCTTTCCAGGTTTCAGGTACAACTTGTGTTTTTGGAGCAATTCAAGTACTCGCTTTGTGATCTGCTGATGTTTGTCCAAGGTTTCTGTGAAGATCAATACTACCATGTGACCCTCATTGATCAGTTCTTGAAGTATGTTGTGCATTATGTTTTGAAAGGTTGCTGGGGAATTCGTGAGACCAAAGAACATAACCAAGGGCTCGTACAGCCAGCAGTTTGTGCGGCATGCAGCCTTCCACTTGTCGCCCTCTTTGATCCGTACATTGTTGTATCTCCACCGGATGTCTAGCTTTGTGAAGAATTTGGCGCCGCAAAGGTTATGGACCAGTTTGGAGAGCAGTGGCAGCAGGTATCAATTTTGGATCATCATCTCATTCAGCTTGCAATAATCTTGGACGGGACATAGCAAGCCATCCTTCTTTTTGACAAAGAAGAACGCTGATGCCATGGGTGATTTTGATGGCCTGATCTGTCCACTGGCCAGGTTCTCTTGTAAGAATTTGTCCAGTTTGGCCTGCTCATTTTGCGATAACGGGTACACCTTGTAGTCCATTGCTTTGGAACCAGGTTTGAGCTTAATTGCATAGTCCCATGCTTGTTGGTCCGGCAGTGAGTTGAACGATTCCTTGGCAAATACTTTGACAAATCCTTCTCCTTTTCCACTTCTTCTGCCAATATCTGTACTGGTGTTTCCTTCAGCCGTAGATCCACTTCCTTCCCAAAGTCGACCAATAGGATCAATTCTCCCTCTTCTAGATCCTAGATCCTAGATCCTAGGGTTAGGGTTAGGGTTAGGGTTAGGGTTAGGGTTAGGGTTAGGGTTAGGGTTAGGTTAGGGTTAGGGTTAGGGT